TTGGTAATTGGTGCAATTGTACCATTCTCTCAAGTTTTTCAACCATGAATGCCTTCTTCTTCCTATAGATCTCTTTCCCATTATCTTTCCCTGTATAATCAATTGCAGCAACTGGTATTTATCTCATAACATGTCCCAAATATTGTAGTTTGCGCTTTTTAACAGTAAGTATCAGCTCTTTCTCTTTCCGCACTCTCCGCAAAACCTCCACATTTGTTACTTTCTCTGTCCAGGGTATTTTTAATATTATAATATAATCCTTAACTTGTTCTATTTCATCTTGTCCGATTCTCATTGTGATGTCTTCATCTGTATTTGTTATAGTTTTGGTCTTGCTGTAATTTATATTAAGGCCTATCTTTCCAGCTTCTACGTCCAGTTCTTTCATCATTTCAAATAATTCTACTTTTTTATCGGTTATCAATACGATGTCATCAGCGTACCTTAGATGGTTTAAGCGTTGTCCACAAATTTTTGTACCTTTTAATAATAAATACTAAAGCTGGCAAAAAAAGGAAAAGAAGACGACCACGAAGGAAATGGATGGAATCGGTAAAAGAAGACTTGGGATTATTAGGAGTACAAAAGAGGAGAAACCTAGCACAAGATAGGAAGAAATAGAAGAAAACTATAAAAGCATTGTGCCTCTAGGCCTGTTTGAGCTGATGTATATATATATATATATATATATATATATATATATATATATATGTGTGTGTGTATATGTGTGTCAGTCCATTAATCCATGACAAAGGCACAGATTTGGGCAATTATCTGACTTTTGATTACGAAACCTAAGAATTTTTCGAATTTTGACTGTTTACTTTTAGATGGCGTCATAGCGACCGTATGACACTTGTTTGGTTTAACAATTGGATTCGTCGGTTGACGGCAGATCAATTACAAATTCAAAAGACAAAAAAGCAGAGGCATCTGTACCAAACTTAGAAATATATACCATACTTAGATGACAGAAAATAGAACAAATGTATTTTTTAGTTGACGTACAAAGCTAATTGTATTCTGACTATCGTATTAAATTATATTATAGAAATAAAAAAATAGCTACAATACTTACATTTGTCTTTGTAATAAATTTTGCCAAACAGCCTTAAGTTCTGGAGTAGGAGCGCGTAAGATCACAGTTTTTTTGGTAGCGTTTTTCTTTGGGGTCCTGGAGAGGTCAGGACCACAATGGACAGTCGGACTGGAAGCCTTCCTGCCCTCGGGATTAATGTTTATCCTAAATTCAGTATCTAAGTAAAAAGAAAATTGTAAGTTTGGTTACTTTAATCAATTCTAAAATTAAATGGGTAATGTCTTAAAATAAATAGTTATTGAAAAAAAAAGAATACAAAGCATAATATCGAGATATGCGTTACAGAGTTCTCACTCTTAAGATTTGTTGGCGATATTTTGCCACTCCAGCTACCCTCAATATAATTAGCTCCGTGCGTTCTTCCGGCATATTCTCCCACTCGCATTAGTAGACATTATTAAATAGCTTTAACTGCACTATTTTATATAAAATAACTTAAATATATGATAAAAAAAATAGTTAAACAATAGTTTATTTTGTTTGGTTTTATTATGGAGAAATATTTGATTTGTTTATTATTATTATGTAACAAAATTTTGAGACTGCTCCAGTTTTTCTATTTCCTTAACATACCTTACACTTCTACATATTATCATATTAGTCACTATAACTCGACCATTTTATGGAATGTTTAATTTATACTACATATTGTACACTAGACCGTTTATTATAGATTTTTAAAAAGTCTACCACGTATGGACTTTTATTATTTGGTTATCAATTGCATATATCATTGAAATATCTAGATAACAAATTTAAAATTTCTTTATCATTAATGCGATATAAAAATAAAAAATTTCTCAAAACCGTTATAACTTTAGTTTGATGGATTATGCAAACATTATTACAAATTAATGTTCAATATTAAAGATATAGTTAATAATTCATATCCAATATTGTGATTTCTTGGATAAGCAATCCTCCACTTACTGGCCAACGACTTCGGGCAGATAATTTGGTAAGAGGTAGAGTGCCCTTGTGTCCTGATTAAGATTGGGCCTACGTGATAAGGATACAGAAGGAAAGGAGAAGCCAGTGCATTAACGATCCAATTAGATATGTCTTGTAAAGTCATCATGGGAATAAATAATTAAAGGTAGTAAAGTCATCATGGGAATAAATAATTAAAGAAAAAAGACGCTGAGCATAAGAATCGGAACCCAAGATCTATTAGGGAAGAAAGAGATCAGAACTCCCAGGTCGTTAAAGTGCAAAACCTTGTCAAACAAGGAAAAAGGCATGATAAAGTTTTCCAACGCAAAAATAGGGACGTGGAACGTCAAAAGCATGTATCAACGAGGCAACATGCATTAATAACATTGTTCAGAAAATGAGCAAACTTAATATTATTGTATTGGAAGTATGCGATATATGAGGGGACAGTTCAGGATACTTTTAGAAAAAAACTGGTATCTTATTATACTCGAGATTTCATTGACAACCTGCATAAACTAGGAGTAGCAAAAGAGTAATGCTCCTACAAATAAAGACATATCACACAAAACTAAATTTAATCCAGGTCTATGCGTCAACCACGCATTCGATAAAAGATAAAAACATTCTACCATCAGATTAAAGAGGCCCTAAAAGTAACAAAGAGTAGATAAATCACTGCAGTTATGGTCGATTTCAATGCAAAAGTCGGCACTGAAGAGCTGGAATAATAGTGGGAGGTCAAGGACTAAAGAAACGTAACGAGAGAGGAGATCGGCTAATACAATTCTGCCAAGAACAAAGTATAGTAGTCACAAATACAATATTTAAACTGCCGATGAGACGGTTCGTGGTGCTCGCCAGCGGATAAGCAGGAAGAAGTGGTAAGGATTCAAATTAAAGAAATTATGAAAAGAGCTCTCGAGAAAGAAACAGTTGGAATAAAGGTCAATGGAGCACCAATTAACAAAATTATGCGGAGCATACTGTCAAAATGGCAAAAAACCTCCGCGACCCCCAGAGGCTAATAAACAAAATAGTTAAGTGTGGAGGAAAATATGGACTATCAATAATCATCATCGTTTGGCTCTACAACTCTATGTGAGTTTTGGCCGCGTTTACTATTTCCCTCCATTGTTGTCGGTCCTGAGCAGCTATTTCCTATTGCTGTATTCCCATTTTACGTAGATCACTATCTACTGCGTCCTTCCATCTCTTTCTTGGGTGACCAACTAACCTTCTGCCGTCGGGTCTTTCCCAGAATGTGGCATTCAGGAGACTTTAGTCACTCGATCTTATTACGTGGCCCGCCCATCTTATTCGATATGCTTTATTGTAGGGTATTATATTTTCATATCTATATACTGTCTGGAGTTTATCATTGCGTCTTCTTCTCCATTATCCTGTTGTCTCTTCTCTGCAAGGCCCAAAGATAGTCAGCAGTATCTTTCTTTCCAGTACCAGTAATTTTGTCGTTTACCGCTGGTTCAGAGTCCATGTCTCGCTTCCATACGTTATTGTGGGACGAATTATTGTCTTATACACTCTTATTTTTGCTGGTATTGAGAGTATTTTTGATTTAAGTACAGTCATTAATGAGTAATATGCCCCGTTTACTGCAATTATCCTGGCTGCCACGTCCTTTTCATAGTTATTTTTGGATGTTATAATCACTGCCAGGTACTTGAATTCTTTGACGACTTCAAAGTTGTATTCATTGATTGTTGCGTTTTGTCTAACCCTTGGCATTGGGTTTTTCGTAACCACCATATACTTGGTCTTGTCCTCGTTGACCTTCAGATCAACTTATCAACTTCCTTGGCTCCGTTTTTGAATAGGGTGTAAACTTCTTTTGCATCTCTGATGGATTGTGCAATTGTGTCCACGTCATCCGCAAACGCCAATAGTATTTTTGATCCTTGGGTGGCAAATCCGTTTGTCAGTTGTGGTTGAGCAATTAATAAACATCAAGAAAACTAAATATATGGGGTTATCAACAACCCAAAATAATGATGAAAGTCTGATAATTAACAGTAAAACTTTAGAACAAGTAGAAAACTACAACTATCTTGGCACAATAATTATTAATCACACAAACGATTACTCCAAAGAAATTAAAGTTGAAATAAAAAAAACACAAAAATATTTCAATAAAATTAAACATGTACTTTGTACAAGAGAACTTCAATTAGAATTGAGAGTTGGCTAGCATGGTGCTATATTGTTCCGGCTCTGCTCTACGGAATGAAAGTGTGGATACTTAACGCGACGAGTACTAAGAAGCTAGAAACATTTGAACATTGGATATATAAAAGAATCCTCAAAATATCATGGACCGAGCATGTAACAAACAACGAAGTCATGTGAAAAGTTAACAAAAAAATGGAAATGATGGAAAGGATCAACACACAGTGTCATGCATATAATGCGTGGTGAAAGGTACGAAGCACTTTAATTGATTATACAAGGAAATATCCAGGACAGTAGAAGTATAGGAAGAAGAAGAATCCTGTGGCTACGTTACTTAAGGGAACGTTACAGGGTGGATATAAAAGCAATTCCTCGCACCTTTAGCGCATACGTACAACCTTAAATATTGATGTTAGCAAACAAATAAAAGAAATCAAAATTGTATAAAATATAATTCTCCTCATTTTGGTTTTTATAGATTCATGTCGCAAATGAATAATTAACGAGATTATCCCATAATTATGTTTCTCCTGTTCCCTATTTTCACTTACCTCTTTATACAACTATTAATTTCTTGATTGACAATAAACTTAACCCTGTTTCGCGCCATTTCGTGAAAATAATAGATATTTAAACAATTTTAGTTTTAACACTAACTAAAAATTATCCAATTATCTAATTGTGTCACAAAATATAATTTGATTTTACAAAAATGTTTGTATTTGTAAAGAAAAAAATATTTCAAAATATTATAATAGACAAGAATTGTATATGTTACCTTTTTTCCTAACGTTAAAAAACATATCCGAAATATGAGATAAGGGTAAAGGATCTTCTATAACAAATAAAACACGATCCCTCGATGCTTTAGCAAATAACAAAAGATCACTAAACAACAGAGTCCAATACTGACGAACGTTTCGTCCTTCCACTCTGGCTAGGTCTCCGCCGAAAATCCATTGCCGACCTGGTTTATTTAATACGAAGGGCTGAAACACAAAAATTCTGTATTATTTAATACTATACCATTATGTTGAAATAAGCTCTTTAATTGTAATATTTATAGATAAGGTACCCCGGAATAGGTGGAAATATGGGGGAAGTTTAAAACATGTGAAAAAATCATAATCCGGTCATGTGACTGCCATCTCCCCAATAACAATCTACACTAGATTAATATTACCACTGACGCTTAGAGCCATTCATATTTCTGTCGTTTAGCAAAACTCAAACTATTCAAGTATTTATCTACTAATCCGGTATCGATTTAATCATCGAATTGTAATTGTTACCTTTTAGCCAACGGTTTTGATTCAAGGAATTCGAATTAACAACTATTTTCATTAGGTAAGAAATAAAGTTATATTGTATTTTATTTATACATAGGTTAAAACTAACTTGTGTAAATAGTTTTTGTAAATCTAGATAGGTTCCACTTGCCTCATTTTTTTATGCTTGGGGCAAGTGAAACCCACAACATTGGGGAAAGTAGACACTAGTGTCCACTTTCCCAAAGAATACATTATTATTTAAAACAGTTTGGTTCGTAAATTGGTTCGTAATTATGTCAAAAAGAAACTACCGCCAACATATTCTTAAGAAACCTTAAGAGAGGCAGTAGAAGCTGTAAAATCTAAGCAAATGACACTTTGCAGAGCATCAAAACATTACCCCCCTCCAAAAGCAACATTATTTAAACGAGTCAAGGGTTTAAGGGGTAAAACAGCTTTATCTTTAGATATTGAGACCAAAATTGTTAACCATATTAAGATCATGAAAAAATGTGGTTTTGGCCTCTCAAAAAAAGAAATTTTGTTAGCTATTGGACAATATATATCAGAAAATAACACAAAAACTCAATTTAAAGATTCAGTACCAAGTGATGATTATTTTTTAAGTTTCAAGCGCCGATATGGACTTTCTCAAAAGAAGCCACAATTAGTTGAAGTGGCCCGTAAAAAAATTATAGATCCTTTTGTAATTGCAGAGTACTTTGACTTGGTGAAAGTAATCACTTCGAATATACTCCCTGGGAGGATTTATAATCCAGATGAATCCAGTTTCTGCCTAAATCCTAGTCGTGTACAAGTAGTAAGTGAACAAGGAAAAGCCACTCATCGAGTTACAGCTGGTCCTGACAAAGAAAACTTTTCTGTTTTAATGGGTGGCAATGCTACAGGAGAAAAATTACCACCCCGTATTATTTTCAAATAAAAAAATCTTTAAGATATATGGCTAGCAAAAAAGGATGACGAGTATCTAGGAAGTACATATGGAGCAACTGTAAACAGATGGATGGAAACGGAAACAATTTCTAATTATATTAAACATACGTTTCTTCACTGCAACCTATAGAAACTGCTTTAAGGGAAGATAAAATTATTTTAAAACTACCGCCACATACTAGCCATCTGCTACAGCCAATGGAATTGGCTGTGTTCAAGCCTTTAAAACAAATGTACGATGAAGCTCTTATAAAGTGGCAAAGAAGAAATTACGGTACAAAGTTACCGAAATCCACATTTTTATCTGTAATTTCACAAGTATGGAAGAAGCTGAGTTCAAACCATATTAGAAGTGGTTTTAGTAAGGCCGGTATATACCAATTCTGTAATACAGTGATTCCTGTTAAAAAATTTGAACCTGAGGCTTTAAGGCTTTCAAAAGACTTCAATAATATAACTCTAAGGAAGGATCATTAGTGAGAAATAGGAATGACCCTGCTGATACCCCTCAACAAGAAGAAATGACCGAAAATACCAGTGGCAGCCAAGCAACATACTTGGTTAGAAGTATTGTGTTAGAAGACAAACAGTATCTTTAAAATGGTAATCAGAATGATGCATTAAAAAGGCATCCTAAAAGAAAATTCCCTCGAATCTATTTTACTCGAACATGTCAAACAATCCACATCAAACAAGCAAAAGAGTAAGAAAATCTGTTCCGGCGCTGAGATCATAACACGCACTGACTATTTAGCAAAAATGAAGATATAACAAGACAAAAAGACCGTTAAATCCAATAAAACAAAAAGGAAAAGAATAAAGAAGAATGAAACACAATCCGACAGCAGTGATGATGACCAAGCTTTCATTGAGATGAGATCAGATTCCGACGACGATATTGATATATTAAGGGTTCCAAACCCCTTCCATCGAAGAAGAGTTACATCGTGAGGCTATTCCCGATGATTTCGTATTAATGAAATTTTTAGTTAAAGGAGACTTAAATTATATTTATTATGTCAATAAAATTTTGTAGGGTTTTGATGCTGAAGTAAAGTTAGTTGCCTTGGAAAATGCATAAAAAATTACGGAAAATATTATTTTCCTAACGTACCAGACATATCAATCGCAATTAAGTTTCAAATTGAATTTGTATTGTCAAAACCGTTAAGTTTTTCCCATCGTACAAAAAGGCAACAAGCTTTAATTTCGTTTCCTATTTTTCTAAATCACTATAATGTTCGCTAATAAACATATTTTTTAAAATTTTTATTGAGAAAATGAACTAGCTGAGAAACTAATTAAAGACATACAAAGTCACTAAGAAACTTTGTTGCAGAATATGAAAACAAAAAGAAGCTAAACTGAAACCCGAGACTCTAGAATAGATAGAGAAAAGAAGAAGAACGAACAGAGACAACCCGAACTATAAAGCGCTCAACAGAAGCGTTAAGAAAAATATTTGAAAAGACTTCAGAACTTATAGAACAAACCAGATTCTTAAAACCATAGAGAACAATAAGAACATGAAAGTACTAAAAACATGTAAATCCACTGGCAGGAATAAAATTATAAAGATAAAAGACGATCGTGGAAAATTGTGCTCGCATAAGGAAGACAGCGTTAGAGAAATCCGAAAATTTTATGAGAAGCTGTATACTTCTACTATTCCGAACCCTGGTATACCAACAAAACATATCTTAAATGTGGGTTCAGAGGATCTCCCTGAAATAATAACATCAGAAATTAGAGCCACCCTAAAACAAATAAAAAATGGGAAAACACCAGGAGAAGATAAAATTACTTTAGATATGCTAAAAATGGGAGGCACTGCATTAGAAGAGGCAATGAGAGCATTACTGAATAAATGCCTATTGGAAGGACAAATACCAAAATCATACCAACATCATTTTACTCCATAAAAAAGGGGACGCCGCAAACATAGAAAACTACCAACCAATAAGCTTATTGTCACATCTTTACAAACTACTAACCAACCAGTGGAGTAAGCAGACTTTCGTAAGGGTTTTAGCACTATCGATCACTTGCAAAGAATCCGGACAGTTATCAAAAACACAATAGAGTACAACATATCACTATATCTGGCATTTGTCGATTATCACAAAGCATTCGACAGTATCGAGAAATGGGCTTTCTTAACAGCATTGGACGACGCCAGAGTAGATTCAAGATATGCTGCCCTTCTTAAGCATATATACGATGATGCTACTTTTCACGTAAAAGTAGATGATGATCTGGAAACTATGAAAATCGACCTTGGCAAAGGTATGAGACAGGGCGAAACCATCTCACCCAAGTTATTTACTTTGGCATTAGAAAATGTCTTCAAAAACTAAATTGGGTCGAAAAAGGAATAAAAATAGATAGAGTATATCTTAACCATTTGCGTTTTGCAGACGACATAGTACTAATAAGCACAGATATACATGAACTAAAATTAATGCTACAAGTTTTAAATCACAAATCGAATCAAATAGGATTAAAAATGAATCTCGACAAAATTAAGATATTAAGCAACAGCCTAGAAAACATCACGATAGATAACAGCAATACAGAAAAGGTAGAACAATATATATATATATATATATATATATATATATATATATATATATATATATATATTGTTTGACAGGGATGTGTGCTTTCCCCTCTTTTATTTAACATTTATTCGGAAGCCATATTTCAAGAGTCTTTGGAGGATGCAGAGATGGGAATCAAGGTGAATGGAGTATTGATCAACAACATACGATATGCTGATGATGGTGTCTTAATTTGTGACAACATAGTCGATCTTCAACAACTTGTCACTATAATCGGAGAATACAGTGAGCGAATGGGACTAGAGATTAATACCAAAAAGACCAAATTCATGATCATCTCCAGAAACTTGGATGCACTTGAAAACTCCACCATAACACTGAATAGTAAATCCATAGAAAGAGTGAGTAAATTTAAATACCTGGGATCGTGGCTTTTTGAAGACTGGGCATCGGACAGGGAAGTAAAATGTCGCATTGAGCAAGCTCGACAAGCTTTCGTAAAATTCAAGAAGGTACTGACTTGTTCAGAGTTCGATCTTCAACTGAGACTAAGGTTTACTAAGTGTTACGTATGGTCAGTGCTGCTATATGGCGTAGAGGGCTGGACACTCAAAACGAGGGATATAAACAGATTGGAAGCTTTCGAAATGAGGCTTTATCGCCGTATCCTAAAAATACCATGGACAGCAAAAATCACAAATATAGATGTCCTTAAAAGAATAAACCAAGAACGACAACTTTTTGAAACCATCAAGAAAAGGAAAACGGCGTATCTAGGTCACATCATGCGAAATGAAAAATACCAGTTCCTCCAACTTATAATCGAGGGTAAAATTGAAGGCAAGAGAGGAATGGGACGCAAGAAAATGTCCTGGCTCCGAAACATAAGGCAATGGACAGGGATTAACGACATACAATCTCTGATACATATTGCAAGAAATAGAGAATTAATGGAAAATGTGATCGCTAACATCCATTAGTGGATTTGCATCTGAAGAAGAAGAAGATATAGATATATATATACAGTCAAAATCGTTTACAACGACACCGGCTATAACGTACAATCGGATATAACAAACAAAATAGTAGGTCCCATAAAATGACATACAAAAAACGCATTTATATTGCTTATAATGAACAAATCGGTTAGAGCAAACGTATTTCTTGGAACACTAGTAGTTAAAATATTGGTTACAGCGTACA